GTTTTGTCAATATAGTCATTTTGGTTCATATACTGCATGCTTTTTTTTAGTCAAGGAAAGCGTATTCACAAGAGCTCTGTGAAATCACAAAAAGGCAGCGGAGGAAACAGAAAAAAAAAAAGATAAAAAAACCGAGTGTTCCCGACAGAGCTCGGTTTTCCCTCAGGCTAGACTGTCCCACCAGACGACCCCCAGCTTCCTCCTGACAAACGCCTGCTATCTTTCTCGCATCAATCTCGCCCGTGCGCTGATATATCAGGAAATAAATGAGAGGAGATCTCCACCTCTTCTGTCACTGCCTTAATGCGTGAGATAAGCAGCTCCATATAATTACAATCCTCCAAAATAATTGTAACAAGAGGCTAAACGCTTAGCTGTAGTTTTAATTAGCCCGTGTTTCAAATTAATAATTGCCGCTTAAATCAGAAATGTTGTGGCGGCTGCTTCGTTCTAATAACAGTGGCACTCATCGGCTGTTTATTACATTATTTCTCTATGGGAGGCTCTGGGGGGCTGCGGAGGGGGAGAGAGATGCAGGCGCTCTATTTGGTTATCTTTCAAATGCAGCAAAGCTCAGCTGAGATTAAATTCATTCGCTTTTCCATGGATATCGCTGTTAATTTCCCCCCTTCGTCGGCGGTGTTGGGAAGAGGCAGAGGAGAGGTGGAGTATGAAAGAATGGAGGGAGAAAACTGCCAGTGCCACATATTCCAGAACGTAATCATGCCACCAACAACATCAGCGTAATAAACCGCCTGGCCGCCGCTGTTTAACATACGGCGTTTTGTCAACGCACGCATAAGACTGAATAGCCTATATATGGCCCAGAGAAATGTTGGTAATGTGTTTATGTGAAGTCTGAATATGTGTTCTCAGAGGAAGAAAGGTGGGCAGCGCCTCCTCTCATGCATGGGAAGAGAAAATGATTGAATGTACAAAAATCAAGCAAAACAAACATTACGAAAGAAGAGATTAAATCGTATCTTTAGGGTGTTTTCAGAGATTGGCTGATTTTCTCTATGATATTCTGGCCAGTGTTATTTTAGTATTATCGAGATGCTGTTATAGTTTGAAACATATTTTGAGTTTTTATTTGTATCTAAGCGCAGCAATTTAGATTTATTTACACAAAATCAAAACTGGACACAGGAACAGAAGAAAACACAGGGCTTAAATACAGTGAAACAAACCATTCAAACAAGTGCAGACACTAATCTAATCAATTACTAACCAAGGGAACAAACTACTGTAGTGGCAGGAAAATCAAGACTAGATCAAACAAGAAAAACCTAGAACAAAACCAAGTGAACATACACGTGACAGCCTGATTCTTGTCTCTAGATATATTTTCCAGAACCCACATGCATGAAAAATAGGCCTATGTTTATACATTGCCATTGTGCTATAGAATATTGTAAAACATTTTATTCACTTTCTTGTTTAAAAATCTGGCGCACTGCAGGGGTCCCCGCGATAACCTCCCCGAGCTGAGATGTGACGTATCATGTGTCAACAATAACCAGAGATATTATCAAAAGCATCAAAAATTGGCTATATTAAGAGGATTTAGCATTTCCAATTAATGTAGACCTGTCACATTCTTCTTATTATTAGGCCTATTATTATTATTATTATTATTATTAGGTTAATAATGACACGCTGTGAGGATAATTAAAGTTTAGGATACTAGCTTCCTCATTGAAAATGTTTTTAAACAGTTTTATTTTAATTTTTTTTAACAGGTCTATTAATTTGTACAATTAATTATAGGCCTATCATTGAAATTATTAACACTGCAGTCATCAATGAAAATTAAGCTTTATTTTGTGCACCGATTTTCAGAAACAACCTGTTTAACGCAAAATACATTTCGTCGCATGTTTTTACTATATGGGCCACTAGAGAAATATTAAGGGAATAATTTAAGACAGTTATATACCGTTATCAGCATATGTTGAAGTAGTTTCGTCTCTCGTTGTCTCAGAGAATATGCGCCGTTAATGCAGCGTCAGAAAGCTCCGTCAGTTTTTTTACTTTCACTTTTTCTAAAGTGAATTGACTGACGTTCACCGGCATAACTCTTGGGCACAGTTTGCACATTGCTTGCTTGTGTTGCTTGACCCCTCCCCCATAATATAATTTGTTTATAGGCCACCTATTAGGCACTTCTTTCTTTTCTTTTTTTTTAGGTTTTTAATGTTTATTTTTCAATGTTAATGAAAGTGACACCAAAAAGCAGGAACATCATTAGGAAATCCTTGGGGGGGGGGTGCCGGGGTTAAACAAGTTTCTGATGGGGCTATAGCCCCGCCCTAGCGCCGCCACTGATTTGAGGCATTACCTTTACCATACTAGTGTATAATAAACAGGCTGTTTTTCCCCACTATGAGGAGAAGTCACGCTCACACATAGAGCCCATTGTCTTCACACTGTTAAGCTGTCTCTCACTGCTGCAGTCATAACTAGGGGTTATTTGCACCTCAGCGTTCTTCCTTTAGTTTCTTAATCGTCTGTAGCACCCTCTCACTGCCCTGCGCAGCGCTCTGTATTTGGAGGTTAATGCAGTGTCGGGGGACCCAAGTGCCTAGAAGGCTCTGCCACTGACAGCTGTAAATTTGATTTATCGTCCCGTCAGGTGGCTATGTCAGGTGTGCCCAGCGTGCTGACATAAAGATAACTGACATCTTGCTGTCATTAAGGCCTGGGAAGCACCGTCAATCTCTCGTCGCTGTGTTTATTCCCACTTTTCTTTGTCACTTATTTCTTCCTCGACCCCTCAGAAGAAGCACCTGTCATCCCCAGACCAGGCCTCATTTTTCTCGCACCGTTTCATCTCCCACCTTCTGGAATAATTTGGTGATGGATTAAACGCCGTGGCTGAAGCCGCGGGACTCCGAGGTGCGCAAAGGCCGATTGAAGACGGACTGATTCCAGCTCTCCGGCTCGCTGTGCTATCCATCACCTCCAAGAGCTGGATGACTCTCTGTTGCTCTGGGAAAGTGTCCTATTAGCAGGGCTTGATGAAATATGTGTTTGAGGTATCTTGGGTTTTAGCAATGTTGACATTAGATGAAAGCGATGATTCTATCAGCGGAAAGTCAAAATAATGTTTGTTTTTAAATTGTAAAATTGAAGGGATAAGTCGTGAGTTAGAATAGCAAATATTTTTGTAGCGTGTTGTATAAAATTGTGGCACCTATTTAAAATGTTAACCAATGTTAAAATGTTAAATGTGACCAAAATACCATAGATGCTACAATCATTGTTAATGCTCACATTTAATCGTAATGGAAATCTTTGTCATTTTGCTTTTGATTTATTTTATGTTTTAATGACATTTGTGTCTGATACTAAGTTACTGCATTTTTACTGTTTTTTTTTTATATTACATATCCGTGTAACACAATATTTCAATAGTAATAAATAGTTTATTATTATTATTATTATTATTATTGGTATATTGATATATAATCACAGCATTTTTGGCTATTTTTCTCCCTTTATTTATTTATTTATTTTAAACAAAACTATATTATTACTATTATTTATAATATTTTAATGTAAACTAAAATAATAATACTAATAATAACATTATTATTATTATTATTATTAAAGTCATAATGACATATAATCACAGCCTTGCAAACAAGCACATCAAACCTTGAGCTTTTTTTTTAAATCAGATTTTAAATTAAAATGGCTTTTTTCTTAATCTGAGAAATTGCAATTAATTATTTTCCCCTAGATTATGCAGCTTTACTTAGGGTGTTAAATTTTAGCCCATAAATTACACATAAAAAAGGCAAGAAACAACATAATAGCAAGTGCAAAAGTCAAAGTTGCAATTTCAAGATAAAAATTTACATTGTGAGATACAAAAGACACATTTACCTTTTTTTTTTATTTTTTATATTTTATATTTTATATTCCACCATTCTATGGGATAATCAGGCTTCCAACCTTTCAAATCCCTCACCCTAAATTTGATAGTGAAAAGTGTCGTTAGCAAGCTAATTTGTTTTTAAGGGACAGCATATCTTTTGAAACATGTCATGTATCCTTCACTGAGCAAGCAAGTGAACGACTGAACAAATGACCAGACGAGCACTAAGACATCCTCGTACATGTACACAATAAAACAGCCAAATAAAAATTCACCATTTCTATCACGCCGTTGTTCCTCCTCAGGGACCGATGCTAATGCTACAGCTAGCGGCTGTGGTGTGTGTCTGTTCCTGAGGGAGGTCTGCATTAACCTGGGGCCATTCTGCATTATGATAATGATAGAACCGAGTCTACGGGTCCTAATCAGCCACTGTCAGCCTATAACACCGGCCCCGGGGCCAACCAGCCACAGCTAGCATCGCACACACTCAGTTTAGCACCCCGCTTGTTTGGTTTCCTCGCTAATAGATGACGTTTGCTAAACGGTAAGTCGTTTACGGATGTTAAATTACTCAGAAGAGGCCTGGAAGAGGCGCTGAGGAGCCGCTCGGATGAAGTCGTCATTATAATGAACGTAAAGAAACATACGAGGCTGACAGAGTCCCTCAGAGGGCGACGCTTGGGTTTTCATTTGTGAAATCATTTACTCCACACACTGAATTCGGGATTGTCAACTACCACAGTATGACATCTGCCTTTGTTTAAAACAAGCTTGAATTTCCTGTAACAATCCCCCACACTGATTGCCATATGAGGTCCTTCAAATCTAAATAAACTCTCCCCGAGGCTCCAGCCCTTCTTACAGTGTTTCAAACAGAGCTGCCTCTTCCTGGCAGTCTCCTGTCTGTTCCTGCAAAGCATCTGTGCACCAATCCAGTTACTTTATCTCCTCCGCCACGCTCTCCTCATCTGCTTAGTGTCAGCTCTGGCCTATTAGACAGATAATGGCTTCACTTGAATCTCTTACAGGCAGGGTTTTTTGCCGTCGATTTCTCGCATGCCAACTCGAATCACGCTCTTACTCTCTATCGTTCTTTCTCTCTCGTTTCCCGCAGTCATTACGAGCAGGACCGCTCGGCGCTGAAGAAGAAGGAGTGGGAGCGAAGGACACAGGAAGTGCAGCAGGATGAAGACTTGTTCTCTACTGGATTTAATCTTTTTGGTGAGCCGTACAAGGTAAGGTTTTGCCAAAAGGCCCAATCAGAGCACACACACACACACATACACACACACACACTCACTCATTATCTGACACAGGGCATCGCTCCAGCTAAAGGAGTTGGAGTTTCTCTCTTTACATCCAATATTTACTCAACTCCTACCCTCCCTCGGGTTCAACTGGAATTGGTTTGAGGGTATGCTTATGATCAGGGTTATGTAATTTTTATTTTTGTTCCTTTAGATGCCTGAATTAGTTAGTTATATCTAAAACTAGATATAGGCATTTGAAAAATGACTGTGCTACATTTTAAAGAGATAGTTCCCCCAAACATGAAACTCCTTTCATTAATTACTCACCCTCATGTCGTTCCAAACTCGTTAGACCTTTGTTCATCTTCAGAACACAAATTAAGATATTTTTGATTAAATCTGAGAGCAACTACCACGTTCAGTGCCCAGAAAGGTAGTACGTACATCGTTAAAATAGTCCATGTGACATCAGTGACATCAACCTTAATTTTATGAAGCTACGAGAATACTTTTCGTGCACAAAGAAAACAAAAATAATGACTTTATTAAACTTAATTTAAGGTTGAGCCACTGATGTCATGGACTATTTTAATGATGTCCTTACTACCTTTTTGGGCCTTGAACGTGTCAGTTGTGTTGCTGTCTATGCAGAGTCTGAAAAAAATTATCTTAATTTGTGTTCCGAAGATGAACGAAGATCTTACGGGTTTGGAACGACGTGAGGATGAGTAGTTAATGACAGAATTCCTATTCCTTTAAAGTCAACGTGAAATGGTATTCAATTTTACTTTCATATTACTAGTTTATATTGTCAACGAATTACCAACGAAAATGTCTGTTAACATGTTTTCATGTTTACATTCAACACAATCTCTCGACCCTCACCAACTATTCTCCAGGATTATGTCCATGCCAACAGTTAATAGTTATGCACGCATACAAATAAAATGAAAATAAATAAGAACTAAATAAAATATGAAATGCATCTATCCGTTTGACATCCATTAAGGATTTAAAAGAGATGTTCAATCAAAAACAAGGCATTATTTATTTAGAGCCATTTTATCAAGTGCCAGACCTTAAAAAGAAGAAAAAAACCCGTAATTAAATAAGTAGATATTGTTAAATAACAAAATGACAAACAAGTGCAAT